TATCGATACAGTATCGGGAAATGAAATATCGCAAATTTCAGTGTATCGATATTTTCTTACACCCCTACTAAGCTGCATGGTATTAAAGGCCTGTCTAAAGAAATGTCTTAAAGATGCCCAGGTCAGAGGTGGAGCAAAGGTCCAAGGGGGATCAGCTGATCAGTTAAAACATTATGACTATTGACAGATTAGAAATCCTCTCATTTTGTTTCGGGTTCCGCTGGTAAAACCTGCCCCGTCTTGGCATGGATGTTATTTTTATACCTGCAACCTGCCTTAAGAATGTCTGCAGACCAGTCCCAGGCAGCCCCCACAGCTTTCCTCAACAGCAGACATGCAGTAAAACACGTCAGCAAACAAGAGATGTTGATTTGGATTCCTCATTCTTTGGAGGTATCAACTGCTTTTATAAATTTAGTTTTTGCTGTGCCTTTACACGTTTTATTAATAAAATGAAACCACCAAATTTTAGTTGTAAGAAATGTGTCAGAGTGGGAGGATCAGGCCTAAAGATGGAGAACAAGAAAATGTCTTGTGTGAAGGTCCTGTCACACTATAATGTTTTATACAACTTGAGAAAATTTTGTCCAACACTAAAGATGTTGGCTCTGAAAACGGAATAATAAAATCTACTGGAAGCTTTGTTTTTTTGTTACATTTACACACTGTAATGCAAACAATTAGATCAAATTTATAACCTATGTGAGTAATTTAGTCAAAACAATTGTCATGAGTCGGCACAAGTTGTCTAAAATGTTTTTTTGTGTGTGTGTGTGTGCGAGCGTCTGTACCATCCAAAGCAGCACGTTTATGAAGAGCACCGTGGGCACCCCACCAAACGGCAGACCCTGCAGGACGCTGCTGCGCAAGTGTGCGTGGAAACATCGCTCTGCTGTGCCGTTTTCCTCTCTGAGGGACTCCAGGAAACCCAAGGCGTCCAGCTCGAGGGGCCGCGCCTCCATGGGGGGCGCCCTCATCTCAAACGGCTCCGACTGCTCCATCAGGGCTGCACCATACCTGACAGACGAGACCAAACAAAACAAAAAAGACACACTTAATTTACCTCGCTTTCATGTCCACTTTTAAGAGTTAAAGCAGATTTATTTACTCATACAAATAAGGAAGCAACATCAAATATATCATATATCTGTATTTACAAAACTGCAGAATAGCTCACAATATTTATGTCTTTTATTAAACTAATGAGGAAATTAACAGCAAGTGTAAATTTGCACACTCTGGCTCATTTTTAATCAACGGGCGCCTCTTTCTTCAAGTGCAATTAGCATTTGTAAACAGCAGCCTAATAAGCACCATGGTCCATTAGTGGTGACTGAGCCGACGGCTGCTTTGTCTCACAAATGAAAGCAGGAACGTCGAGATAACCAATACACTGCAGGTAGTTTAAAATAAAGACAGATTTACTCCAGTGTTTTAGCAGAAAAAGCTACAGATTCTAAAATAAACAGTTTTTTGTGCCAGATTCAGTAAAATTCTGCAGGCTTTCCTGAGATCTTCACATTAACTTTGACTTCGATCACTGAAAATAAATGAGTTTTTTTCCTTGAAATTAAATTAACCTTTCTGTCAAAGTTGGAGAAATCACCCCAGGGCCTTTCTCTTTTTTTGAGATATTGCATTCGAGACGACCTAAAAGATCAAAGGAGAGCGTGAAAGTGTGCTCAGAGTGCTTGTTGAGGAGGACTGCTGCTTTCAGCCACTTTTGGTGTATTTGCCACAATCTGTGGTGCATTCAAAGGATGTGATCCTTTMCTCTGCTGTGACCACACAATCAGGAGCCTGAACCATCTGTCCTCCAGCAGCACACGCTAATCTCCCTCTCAATCAATACAGTCCGACCCACAGCTGCCCGCTCTGTGTACACTGCTCAGTGAACAAGCAGAGGTAATGGAGCGGCAACTCGGTGCAGACAAAGCTCCACATCAGGACTGTATATTCACACGACTGACTGATTGGGTCAGATTTCCAGGAGCGAAACGGATCACATCCTGTAGTAAATAAACCCTCAGCTGAAGCTCTCAATCTGCGCAGGCTACAAATCATGAATCAAAGTGGCACACAGTACATGTGATTTATCCCCGAACCGATGATGTCACTTCCTCAAAAACTGCATCAGAGTGTTGCGAGGCTTTGACCAAGCGGCGCCCGCTGTGCGACAGAAGCCTCGGCAGCGCGTCTCGTTTAGGAGGTGGACTGATCAATGCTGCTGGACCGATTTACATCACTCACAGAGGTCCGGTGAGGAGCAGGAGGACAAAAATACCACTCAGTAATCCTCAACTATCTCCCTTTACACTGCTCTGGGCTCCTCTTCAGCGCTGCATCCTGGAACGGCACAGCTTGGAGTCGATATTTAGATTCTGTCGGGCACCCCAGGACCTCAGCGAGGAGGCTCCTCTGGGGACGGATCACAAAGCAGATCTATAAAAACACACTCAGAAGCAGACRTTGCCTTTAAATTCAAACCTTCAGTTTGCTCAAGAGAATGAAATTACGGCTGAAAACGATATGTTATTCCTCCTTTTAAATATTTGATCACATTTAAGACAGCAGGGCAATGATAATAATTGCAGCTGCTGAAATATTTATATTTAATGGGATCATCAGTTTTAGATGACTTGCAACTGCAGTTGTCATTTGGGGAAGTTTTGACCATTTTTTGTTGGATTAACTGAGAGACAAACTAATTAAAAAACATAGATCAAATTTTTACTTGAGTTTTATTTGACTTGAATGAATGAATGATTTTATTTATTCGGGAAAGTGTGCAATTAAAACATAATTTGATGCATTGCACCAGATTTAGACAAAGGCTAATTT